ACCAATCATTGATTCAAGTTTTTATTCAATGCTTTTATTTATGTTTGATTTGCTAACACATAGAAAGGATGTAAAACAAATTGGAAAAGGTCACACAAAGTTTTTCAGTAGATTTGATCAAATTAACAGGAAGTTTTCTGTGTATGCCTCAAAGAACAGGACGTGTTGAAATACTTTAGTTAAAATAGTGCATTTTGCAGAACAGTTTTACAGAGCAGATTGAAACATTAACAGGAGGTTTTGCAGTGTGACTGGGAGTTGATCAAATTGACAGTAAGATTTGGCTGCAGTTGCTTAAATTGCCCAGATGATTTGCAGTGCACTGGCCTCGATGGACAGGACATTTGGCAAATGCAGTTGTTAAAATGAAAGTACATTTTGAAGTACAGATGCACAATTTGCACAACGTTTTGCAGTGCCGATTATAAAAAAAATAACAAGACATTTTGCAGTTCAATTGCTCAAATTGCCAGAATGTTTTGCAGTGTAGTTGCTGTTTGTACATCTATGTAACATCCCTGCAGCCTACATGTGATGATAGCTTAGCTTGTTGTGAAAAAAACATGTATTACTTGACCATGCAGCACAAGATTCATGTTTTAATAGCATTTTTACCACAACAAAAAAACCCAGGTGAGCCAAACATATTAAAAGAGGGTTTAGACCTCAGAGGGTTAAAAGAAAGTTTGGCAGTGTAGATTATTAACGAATAACAGGAAGTTTTTTGCAGTGGAGTTACTAAAATGAACAGGAAGCTGCAGTGCAGTTTGCGAACAGGAGGGGGAGTCTGCAGTATCATTTCCCCTGGCATTTCTACAATATTAAGCCTTACAAAAGTAAAAAACGAATACGCCAAAACAGTTACTCAAGTTATGAAGTTATCAGATGACAATGAAACTGTTTCCCTGCAGAAGAAACCGGACCGGAAGTGCCGTTTTCATCCTAATTACTGCTCTTCGCCTGCCAGGTAAACTATGTTCAGGTTTGTTTTGCTAGCTTTGTTGTGTGTTAGCTTGGTTAGTTAGTTAGTTAGTTAGTTAGTTAGTTGACTTTCTGAAGTGTCTAAAGGGAAATGTATTTGATGCATGAAGTGTAAAGGAGAGAATTTCTGAATGTATTTTAATTTCTGTATCACAAGTTGATTACAGTTAATTTTGTCGATTTCCCCGCAATGTTGCATGATTCAAGATTCAAGGCTTTATTGTCACGTGCACAGTAGCTACAGTGTAGATATGGCAATGGCACAGGCTCCTCCAACAGTGCAACATATAGAAAATAAAACAATGACAGAGTGGAAACATTTTCTCCAAATACCCTTTGATTTTGTTTTTGCTTGTGTGTGTGTTTCTTGATTTGCTTTGGGCCCACTGCAGTCTATTCAGTGTTTGGATTGAAGAAGTGTCGGCCTTGATCAGCTAACATGTCCTGATTCAATTCTAGAGAGTGCTAGCCTAAGGCCCCGTCCACACGGAGATGAAAACGAACCGATGTCGATATCAAAAAAGTCTTCCGTCCACACGGGATCGGCTCAAGAAACTTGTCCGTCCACACGAGACCGCTCGAACCCGCTGGAGACGCTGTAGTACATATGCCGGGCCTGTAAGTGGCGCTGTACTTCCGACACAAAATACACCAAAAGCAGCGAAGAAGACCCCCCGAGCATGGTTGCCTGGTTGCCCTTCTGTTTATTCTGGATTTAGCAATATGTAGTTCATGTAGTTCTCCATGTCCACTTGTTGCTGATTGGTTGTGGTAGAGGAGCTGTAGATTTTGCACTAACATCTGTAGCATGGTCAGTAGCGTCTGGAGCACGAACGCAACCCTGTGATCCGCCATTATTGTTGGCGAAACGCAGGAGAGGTGGGGAGAGGCGGGGCTATGACCGTTTAGGGCGTACACACAGTGCCGCAAGCGTTACGTTACCAAACCTTCCCACTTTGGGATGCGTTATCGTTTGAGGGCTCCGTTTCCATGGTTCTGTTACGGCCTCGTGTGGAAGAACCGTCCATACGATAAAGAACTAGCGGATAACACCTGTTTCGTCTCCGTGTGGACGGGCCTAAGTTTACTAATCTACTTTTATTGTGAAGTTTGAAGAATAGCTGTGTTAAAGCAACATGTTGCCTGCTAATGTGAGATTTTTGGGCATTATTGTGACACTAAAATGTAAAACAGGAAGCTATACCCGTTTAAATGTGCACATATTTTGATGTTTGGCTTCAGTTTCTTTTACCAATGACTTCGGATTTTTTTTTTTTTTATAAATCAATGAACAGCAAACCCAAAGTCATTTTTAAAACCTAAACTTAATCAAGCATTTGTGGTAGAAGATTTCACACTGTTGAACAGTTGTGGATATTGCTGTGAAATGTTGTACCAGCATATAGTTCCCAGAGGATGTATCCTAATGACTTATACTGACTTCAAGTTAGCATGAATCTAACTCTGGTTTTATCATAAAAAAACATCTTTATCTTGTTTGAAGAGGACACATCCTGCTGATGTTCAGGTGTATATTAGTAGTGTCTCTCCTGTGACATGTCTCCATGCTTTAATGTTCAAAAAGCTCTTTATTTCTCTCATACTGCCTGTGCTGCAGCACCTCTTTTCACCCTCTGTCTGAAACCATAGCCAAGTCAGTTAGCAGACCAGCTCTGTTGTGATTGGTCAACCTCTTAGAGATGTCCCGCCCCTTAGCCTATCACGTACAATGTGTTGGAGCCTAGCCAATAGAAGTGCAAGTGTTACATAGTGCTGTCTGGAAGTAAACAAAGGAGTGCAATGCAGGCGTTTAGGATGCATTCAAAAACCTATAACACACAGGAAACCCCAAAAGGCATGATTTTGAGCAAGGGAGAATAGTGTGGTCAGAAGCTGGGATGGGACCTTTGGCCCCTGTTCAGATTAGGCGTTGCAGCTAAGGAGATGTTAGTTTAAGTTTTGATTGAAAGAAACACCGTTGTACTGACTTAAGAGACATGTAACATGTTGTGAGAGAAAGAGAGGAGGTGGAGAGTAAACCCATCCTGCACTGAGAGTGATTGCGAGGAGGAGGGACAAAGAGAAATGAGAAGTGAAGGAGCGCTGAGGTCAGGACCCGGGTGCCAGGGAGAAGAGCCATTTCCTGTTGACCTCTGTCTGACCCCTGACCCCTGACCCCTCCCGCTCCAGGCCGAATGGGAGAAGGACGGGGGCGATGTAGGGTGGCAAAGGATGGAGTTATGTATGGATGTTTAACGTCGAAAAGGATGTCGATCAGAGAAGGAGGTGACAGAGAGGATGGGAGCTACAAGAAGACATTTTATGAGGGAAAAGAGGAGGCTTTGGTTTAGTTTAGACTTACTTAGCTGTAGGAGCCAAAATGTGTATTATGCCTGAGCTGTTTATTTAATAAAAATAAAGATATTGTCAATTACACTAATGCATGTATACAGGATAAATAATCGTGATCTCAATATTGATCGAAATCATTTTTGTCGTCATTTTGGCCTTAATCGAGCAGGATTTTGGTGTACTGATTGGTGTAGTTTCACTTTTCTGTAGCTGGAGTGTAAGTAAATGGTCATTGAAAATGGAAACGTGAAGGTGTGTGTTTATATTGCAATTTTAAGGTGTAAAATGACAGTTAAAAGTCACCATTAGCAGCGGAAAATCTACATATCTTTCGTCACCAACTGAAAACCCTCCTGTTTCTCTTGTACCTTGGCCATTTCATTACCAGCATCAACAGTATTTCAGCTTGTGACTGTGTGTGTGTGTGTGTGTGGGTGTGTGTGTGTGTGTGTGTGTGTGTGTGTGTGTGTGGTCTAGCATTACTATACTTGTGGGGACCTACATCTGTTTACATAGTCACGTGTGGGAACTGGCTTCCCTTATGGGGACAAATTGGAGGTCCCCATGAGGGGAATCATTAATTTTAGGGTGAAGACTTGGTTAGGTTTAGGATTAGGGTTAGGGTAAGGGTAAGGGTTAGGCATGTGTTGGTTACGGTTAAGGTTAGGATAAGTCTCCAGGAAATGCATGTAAGTCAATGTAATGTCCCCTGAAGTGATGTATACATGGTGTGTGTGTGTGTGTGTGTGTGTGTGTGTGTGTGTGTGTGTGTGTGGCCTAGCATTACTATACTTGTGGGGACCTAAATCTGTTTACATAGTCACGTGTGGGGACTCGCCTCCCTTATGGGGACAAATTGGAGGTCCCCATGAGGGGAATCATTCATTTTAGGGTGAAGACTTGGTTAGGGTAAGGTTAAGGGTTAGGGTTAGGGTTAGGGTTAGGCATGTGTTGGTTATGGTTAAGGTTAGGATAAGTCTCCAGGAAATGCATGTAAGTCAATGTAATGTTCCCTGAAGTGATGTATACATGGTATGTGTGTGTGTGTGTGTGTGTGTGTGTGTGTGTGTGTGTGTGTATGTGTGTCGTGTTAGCAAAATATTATTCCTGAACACATCTACTGTAGCGGTAACAACCACAAAAGCCTTTTTTACTACTTTGCCAGGCGCTTATTTTTCTGTTCTTCCCCATTTTCTCCAATTTAAGCTAATGTCAAAAAACCTTACAGATGTGTCGTTAAGACCAAAATAATCAATATTTAATTTGCCTCCTGAGATTTGAAGACTGCACTAGCCCATTTTGCTATTTCAATTACATTTTGAATAAGCACCCTAAAGAAACAACATTTCACAGTTTTTGTAAAATAAATTAATACATATTACCGTTTTTTTAATAACAGGAAATTATACAAAACAACCTTCCCAGTCGTCAATCAAACATATATATTTTTAACTAATATGTAATACTTTAATCCACAACATCTTCCTGGAGCAGTCTCACCACAATCTGCATGCTTTAGTTGAGTTTTATTAAAAATGTCTTTCATTTCAGTTTCTTCTATGTATAGAAATGTGTTAGCATTATATTAGCTATACCTCTCTATACACTCGCTAACAGACAACAAACCGACCGAATCAGACAAAAAACACAAACAGATGACAAGCGACAAGTCTTACAAAAAAAACATTTTAATACTTTAACGGTATTTCCCATAATCATTCAGAAATGTTTCAGCGTGGAGCCGAAAGGGAGCCGAATGTTTAAAGAGTCCTTTGGCTGCAGCTCCCCTCACACACACCGCTGTGACACAGAACAAATTTACTAGAAATGCTCATAGAAGATTGTGTGTGTGTGTGTGTGTGTGTGTGTGTGTGTGTATGTGTGTGTGTGTGTGTGGAAATGGCTTTTGTGTGTGTAGGAAAGACCCTAAGGTATTATGGTGATAATATACCTGTTGGCGTCTTAAGGAGGTCAGTGGTACGCGAGCGAGGCAGACTGGAAGTCATTCATAGTGTTTAGCGTCATGCTAAAGGAAGGAAGAGCACTAATATTTCAACGAGCACGCATAAATATAAAAATAGAATCAGAAAAAACAGCTTAAAGTAAAGGTGTGTGTGAAGGTGTGTGTGTTTGTCGTTGACAGTGTGCGGGAAGACGGGGAGTCGTGGAGAAGGCGTGCTCACAGGATCGTCCATGTTGCAAAATATTCATCGGTCTTCCTGTGGATCAGCAGGCATGATGGGAAGTGTAGTTTTAAAGCATGTGTCTCACCCACAGGACATAGTGGAGACGAGGGGAGGAAGCACTTCTACTCAAAAGAGGTATGGCTTAAACCTGTGGGTCCAGACTGTGTGTGTGTGTGTGTGTGTGTGTGTGTGTGTGTGTGTGTGTGTGTGTGTGTGTGTGTGTGTGTGTGTGTGTGTGTGTGTGTGTGTGTGTGTGTGTGTGTGTGTGTGTGTGTGTGTGTGTGTGTGTGTGTGTGTGTGTGTGTGTGTGTTAGCAAGCTACATTGAGGTCAGTGTCTTTCAGTGGGGAATGTAAACTTTCGTATCAATGTGTCGTCTTTTTTTTGTCTTCTTTAAATAGTGTTCAGTTCAGCGTCCTACATACATATATCTCACCACACACACACTCACTCATTCATACTGTCATTTGCCCTTACACACACTCTCTCTCTCTAACTCGCCCCACGACTAGTGTGCATGTATGTCCAGTCCCTGGGCGAGCAGCGGCTCTGCGGGGTGTGTGTGTGGGGGGGGGGTGCAGTAGCATGGCAGGGTGGGGTCCCGGGTACGGGTGGAGGGAGGAGCCCGGGTGGTGAGGGTAGCCTGGCTGGGACAGTAGAGAGTAATCACCCTGCAGAGAGGACATCCCCTGGAGACCTGGGGACACACGGAGGACAAGGTTTATTTAATGAAGAGTGGTGCAGAGATGATGGGTTTTTGTAGGCAGGAAGTTAGCATAGCAACGGCTTCCTCGGATAAAAGCAGTGGGATTTTTCCATTGGATTTTGGAATACAAGCTCTGTGGCAAACACACGTTTTGTTCACCAGGATAATCTCCACACATTTACAGCACATTTATAATCGTAGAAGTGTAAATGCAGGGCTCAACGCTAACTTTTAAAAGTGGTTGCCAGGCTGGCAACCAGGCATCAGCTTTTGGTTGCCAAAACTGAAAATACGGTTGCCATTTTTAGACACCTTATATTTTAAATAATTAAGATACTATACAGTTATACATCAACTTAATAATGAAAATGTGACACAAAAGAATGTTCAAATGCTTTACAATAAGTAATTAACACTTAATTGAAACCTAGGAAACTTGTCCACCCTCAATTGCTGGTAAAACACCAGTAATGGAGCTGTTGTGCTGTTCTTCACAGATCACTAGTTTCTTGGTCATCCGTTGTCTCCCTTTCAAATGTGGGTTGCCTTGACCTTTGTGCTGACCCCCACCATAGATCCACTGGCCCTTCAGCATCGAAGTCTTGGATTGGCCAGACTAATACATTTCTAATGTTAAATAAATGAAAACCATTCACAGTTAAGAATTAATTATTAATGCTGTAAATTACCTTTAATATGTCTAACTATATTTAAAATGTGTTACCTTTTTATAGAAGTGATTATATTTGTATGTCAATATTTTCCTATGGTAAGGTTTCGTTTTGCACTTTTATTTTGGAAGTAACAAGATCGGGACTCTTATTTTGAAGGTTTTTTTCCGGAAGCGAATGGACAACATTCCGTTTATCGTCCGGGTTTACCGTACGCTTTATCAGTTGAATCACTTTTGATCATTCGTTTGAGATGTTGACGGGTTGGCCGAACTTTTTACCCCACAGTCAAACAACTTAATTTGCCTCGCCATTTTTTGTAAAACAAACACACGGCGCACCGCGCACGCGAGTAAACGTGGATCGCTTTCTGGCTCCGTAATCACACCAATGCACGTGCAACTTAAGTATCAGGTTCCGACTGGTCACAACAACAATCAAATATCACTCTTAATACAACAAATAATTAACATTTATCTATTTTGGGGTGCACATTTAGCTGTTTGCTGTCCTTATTTCTTTATGTTAAAAACTGGTTGCCACTGATGGCAACCAAAGGCCAAGAAGTGGTTGACATTTTTTCTGAATGGTTGCCAATGGCAACCTGGCAACCGTTACTGTCGAGCCCTGAAATGCAATCTCCCGAGGTAAAAGTCACGCTATAAAGTATGACTTCATCATCGCTAAGCTAAAGGTGGCCATTTAGTAGTTTCATTTTCACTTGCATTGTCAGGTAGTTAGTACCGCTTTTTAATGACACATATAAGCTTCAGACATTCACCAGAGAACAACATCTCTTTTGTGATGCTGACTTATTGTTGTAGGTATTGAGCACTGTTTACCTGGCAACACGAGGTTTTAATGAAGAGCCTTGAGATTTTCTTTACCAACAATATTCTGCATATAACAGTAAAAACCTTGACATTTCTGTACCTGCTGTTCTGAGCCCGAGGTGAACCTGTCCGTCCAGTCCGTATCCCCCGAGAGCCGCTCCCTCTGGGCTGTAAGGACCCCCCTGACCTGTGGGACAACACACACCGTCACACACACATATACAACACACGCCGTCACACACACATACAACACACCGTCACACACACATATACAACACACACCGTCACACACACATATACAACACAGACCGTCACACACACATATACAACACACCGTCACACACACATATACAACACACCGTCACACACACATATACAACACAGACCGTCACACACACATATACAACACAGACCGTCACACACACATATACAACACAGACCGTCACACACACATATACAACATACACCGTCACACACACATATACAACACACACCGTCACACATATACAACACACACCGTCACACACACATATACAACACACACCGTCACACACACATATACAACACACACCGTCACACACACATATACAACACACACCGTCACACACACATATACAACACACACCGTCACACACACATATACAACACACACCGTCACACACACATATACAACATACACCGTCACACACACATACAACACACCGTCACACACACATATACAACACACCGTCACACACACATATACAACACACACCGTCACACACACATATACAACACAGACCGTCACACACACATATACAACACAGACCGTCACACACACATACACACACACCGTCACACACACATATGCAACACACCGTCACACACATATACAACACACACCGTCACACACACATATACAAACACAGACCGTCACACACACATATACAACACAGACCATCACACACACATATACAACACAGACCGTCACACACACATATACAACAAAGACCGTCACACACACATATACAACACAGACCGTCACACACACATATACAACACACACCGTCACACATATACACACACACCGTCACACACACATATACAACACACACCGTCACACACACATATACAACACACACCGTCACACACACATATACAACACACACCGTCACACACACATATACAACACACACCGTCACACACACATATACACACACACCGTACAACACACACCGTCACACACATATACAACACACACCGTCACACACACATATACAACACAGACCGTCACACACACATATACAACACAGACCGTCACACACACATATACACACATACCGTCACACACACATATACAACACAGACCGTCACACACACATATACAACACAGACCGTCACACACACATATACAACATACACCGTCACACACACACATATACAACACACACCGTCACACACACATATACAACACACACCGTCACACACACATATACAACACACACCGTCACACACACATATACAACATACACCGTCACACACACATATACAACACACACCGTCACACATATACAACACACACCGTCACACACACATATAAACCACACCGTCACACACACATATACAACACACACCGTCACACACACATATACACACCACCTGTACTCCCACACATATACAACACACACCGTCACAAACACACACATATACAACACACACCGTCACACACATATACAACTCACCGTCACACACACATACACACACATACACACACACACACACACACACACACACTTATAAACACCAACCTGAGCGATTTGACTGGTCGATCATCGGCTGCACTATTCTCCTCCTGGCGTTGATGAACCTGGAACATAAAGAGTGTGTGTTCAGAAAGCGAGATGGACGAGGCCGATGTTAATGAAGAAAAAAGGCTGACCGGGAGACTATTAACCTTTTCCATTTTACAACCACTTAACCCTTTCTGGGGAGAGTAAATCAACGTTAGGGCAGAGCAGGTATTGATCGCACTGTGATAATTGATTGATCGGGTCAGTGTGTGTGTGTGTTGTGTGTGTGTGTGTGTGTGTGTGTGTGTGTGTGTGTGTGTGTGTGTGTGTGTGTGTGTGTGTGGTGTGTGTGTGTGTGTGTGTGTGTGGCCTAGCATTACTATACTTGTGGGGACCTAAATCTGTTTACACAGTGACTTGTGGGGTCTCGCCTCCCTTATGGGGACAAATTGGAGGTCCCCATAAGGGGAATCATTCATTTTAGGGTGAAGACTTGGTTAGGTTTAGGGTAAGGTTAAGGGTTAGGGTTAGGGTTAGGCATGTGTTGGTTAGGGTTAAGGTTAGGATAAGTCTCCAGGAAATGCATGTAAGTCAATGTAATGTCCCCTGAAGTGATGTATACGTGTGTGTGTGTGTGTGTGTGTGTGTGTGTGTGTGTGTGTGTGTGTGTGTGTGTGTGTGTGTGTGTGTGTGTGTGTGTGTGTGTGTGTGTGTGTGTGTGTGTGTGTGTGTGTGTGTGTGTGTGTGTGTGTGTGTGTGTGTGTGTGTGTGCTGCAGCAGGGGTACAAATACAAACATGCAAGTTATCAAATTACTAAATATATCGTTTAACATGTTACACACACTTCCTTATTTGTGTACCGTGTGGTTCTATCTGCACAGAACAATACGAAAGAAGTGATTGATCAGCATGCTAGAAATGTGTGTGTGTGTGTGTGTCTCTCTGTGTGTGTGTGTTTTCCTGAGTGAATAGAGGCAGTAAACCATCTGATTATTGGACATTGATTTGCTATTCAGTTTTATGAACACACCAAGTGGATTTTACTGTGCTGTTGATCAGAGAAAAATGCTTAGCAGGACATTTCTTCTTCTGTTACGAGCCCCTCTCTAATAAAGTAGATTATAGCTCCTCTAAAAGTCGTGTTAAAGAGCCACCTTTTATTAAACTGACATTTATATGTATAAAATATCCACAATTAGGAGTTACCGAGGAGATAAATGTGACTCGTTAGATGCAGATGCAGTTTGTTTCCATCACAGCAGCGTGTTATTGACGTGTGGTTAAATTGAAAGTTGACGCTTTCCGTTTACACATGACAGTTTAACGGATTATGGATAACGCCGCGGGGCAGAATTAGTGTATTGATTGAGAGTGCACTGACCAGTTGTTGACCTGTAAGATGGTCAGACCCGTGTCCAGAGCCAGCTGCTTCTTCTGCTCCTCGGACGGGTACGGGTGCTGGGAGAGGACACACAGAGCGAGGGTTAAAGGAAGCAAGACAGTTCCTTTGATTTGATCAGAGTACTGCGATCACACGATTCTTTGGTACAGCTGCTCATGTCATCCGTCTCTTTACCAGTTCTTTGTACTGTTAACTTATTGTTTACGCATGTATTTGTATGTGTATATATGCATTTTTATTTGTAGAGATATATGTATTCTTGGCCCTTGTTGGTGTGTGTTTTACGATATAATGAAAAAGGGAAAGTACTGTGATTACATTACGGGATATATAATAATAATAAATTATATTTCTATAGCGCTTTTCTTGAACCCAAAGACACTTTTCTTATATCTTAGCCCCCTCATCAGCAATCTAAACATGTTCGTGCTTTTACCTTTTTAATATAATCCCCCTATGAATTTATTTTCAATTTATTAATTTAAATATTATTTGGGCAGTTTCTTATGATTAATGTTTTTTAAATAATATGTTTGTATTTATTTATTTTGTTATTTCTCCTTTCGTTCACGTAACAAAACAACTGATTTCTGATTTAAGGCATTTAACAATTTCCATTTGAACAAATGTGACTATAGCTATAAGCTTGGAATTCAACCAGGAACTACGTGTGAGCTACTGATTAAATAACACACGTGACAGAAAGCTGGATTTTGGAATATTGCAGAAAATAAGATCCAATACGTTTTGTTGAGCAGGATAATCTCCACATATTAGCAACAATTGTTATCATTTTTTTAAACACAACTGCAATCACCAGAAGTAAAAAGCTAACGTTAGGCTGTAGGAACTAGGCTCCAACACGATCACATGACTTCACTTCACCACCGCTAAGCTAAAGGCGGCTAATGTTAGGCGTGGTGGCGTTTAGTCGTCTCATCTCATTCACACTTTTATGACGTTTTCGGTCAAACACAAGTGGAGTATTTGCTGACCTATTTTACGACGTAGAACAAAATGTGAAAGCGTGGCTAAACCACTGACCTTATTTCAGGCATTCAACCAAAAATACATTTGGAAAAAGCTGATTTACAGGCGAGTGAACAAGAAGTGGTAACATGCCAACTCATTCCCCGGTTTTAGGACTCATTCTGCAGCTCTCTGTATGTCTATCTCTCTCACACACACACACACACACACACACACACACACACACACACACACACACACACACACACACACACACACACACACACACACACACACACACACACACACACACACACACACACACACACACACACACACTTACTGTATTAACTGGAGTGTAGCAACATTTGACCTGCCTCATTTAGCAGCTAATTACCTTGCCAACAATTACTCACTCCATTTCTATCACTTCCACAGTTACTCAAAAGCGAGCATATTCACATAATCACATAATCCCCTGATTTATCATTTCATTTAATTGACCTCCATTACACACTCTGCTCCCCTCTCTGATGTTTGGCCTCACACTAAATCCTCTCTGTCTTTTGTTACAGCTCTTTGGGTTTTAATTATTGTGGAAATTCATTGTTTTTATGAGTAATAATTCGTCTTTTATGTGGTAATAACCAGAGAGGGCAAAAGTACTCACATCCTTTACTCAAGTAGAAGCACAGATACTCGTGTTTAGAAATACTCTGGTGAAAGTAGAAGTACTGACTAAACTTCTTTACTCAAGTCAAAGTATGGGCTTTGAAATGTACTTCAGTAAAAAGTACCCATAACTCGCAGCTGTTTTAAAGAGTACCTGACCTCCCTTTATATTAATAGAACAATAATGTCATTGTTAGCTAATGAATGTTTCCATGCTGAACAACGGCAACATGACAACGTTTCCATTGGTCCCTCTTCTTTAGAGAAGACCAGGAAATGATGGATACACGGATCGTGTTCAAATCAATAGGCACGCAATGACTCTAAAGAATAATGATCACGCATCAAACACACATTCAGACTAAAGGAACCAGCTGTTTGGAAAATGAGAGAAGTAGAAAGTACAAGTATTTGAGTTCAACATGTAAGAAGTAGAAAGTACAGGTATTTGAGTTCAACAAGTAAGAAGTAGAAAGTACAGGTATTTGAGTTCAACATGTAAGAAGTAGAAAGTACAGGTATTTGAGTTCAACATGTAAGAAGTAGAAAGTACAGGTATTTGAGTTCAACATGTAAGAAGTAGAAAGTACAGGTATTTGAGTTCAACAAGTAAGAAGTAGAAAGTACAGGTATTTGAGTTCAACATGTAAGAAGTAGAAAGTACAGGTATTTGAGTTCAACATGTAAGAAGTAGAAAGTACAGGTATTTGAGTTCAACATGTAAGAAGTAGAAAGTACAGGTATTTGAGTTCAACATGTAAGAAGTAGAAAGTACAGGTATTTGAGTTCAACATGTAAGAAGTAGAAAGTACAGGTATTTGAGTTCAACATGTAAGAAGTAGAAAGTACAGGTATTTGAGTTCAACATGTAAGAAGTAGAAAGTACAGGTATTTGAGTTCAACATGTAAGAAGTAGAAAGTACAGGTATTTGAGTTCAACATGTAAGAAGTAGAAAGTACAGGTATTTGTGTTCAACATGTAAGAAGTAGAAAGTACAGGTATTTGTGTTCAACATGTGAGAAATAGAAAGTTCAGGTATTTGGGTTCAAAATGTAAGAAGTAGAAAGTAAAAAGTCGTCAGAAAAATAAGTAGTGGAATAAAGTACTGATACCAGAAACATGTACTTAAGTACAGTAACGAAGTATTTGTACTCCACTACTTCCCACCTCTGGTAATAACGTGCTCTCTCACCTGCAGGTGTTGGAAGAGCCAGGCTCTCATGATGTTGGTGGCCACTTTGGGGAAGATGCCTCTCTTCTTGTTGTTCCTCCGGTCTCGGTCCGAGTCGTCGTCGTCTCCGGTGCTCGGGGAGCCGTCTCCGTCCAGACCGTCGCCTGCAGAGAAACATCATATATCAAGGACTGTTTGACTCTTAATCAGGGTACAAGTGATATGAGCTCACAATTTCTGCAGATATGTTGTATTCATTTGTAAAAAAACAGTATATTTGTCCGTGTTTGTGCAGAGAAAACAACCCTTTTGAAGCTTTTCTTGTGGAAGTTATCATATAATTGCCCAGATTTGAATGCAAACTCACTCTATTTGTTATATCTATACAACAACATTCAAATAAAAGGTGTTATTGTCTTACTCACATAAGCTACCGTGTAGAAATGGCAATGCAAGTCTTCTGACCTGAGCCCCTCCAACAATTCACGCACTCTTCGGTGTTGATTCATTCAAAATGGCCATAACAAGTATTTCCACTTTGGAACGATCACTGCAATAATTATTTATATGTTTTTCTAATGCAATGCCTTGCCCCCCCCAAAAAATCCCATTTTGTAAATTCAAACATAATCTAGGAATGGATCACAATATATCATATTTTATTATTTATTATATTTCTTGCATTATTTCTTGATGGTCTGAATAAGCTGTTAAATACGTCGCTAGCAGAAGGCTTTGAGGAAACGGAAAGGCTGTCACCGCATCAATAATACCACTCGGAAACACTAGGGGAAACCTCCATTGCCGCTATAGTGTATTGTTTGCTCACATGTGCATTATTTCCTGTGTGTGTGTGTGTGTGTGTGTGTGTGTGTGTGTGTGTGTGTGTGTGTGTGTGTGTGTGTGTGTGTGTGTGTGTGTGTGTGTGTGCGTGTGTGGTGTGTGTGTGTGTGTGTGTGTGTGTGTGTGTGTGTGTGTGTGTGTGTGTGTGTGTGTGTGTGTGTGTGTGTGTGTAGCCTAGCATTACTATACTTGTGGGGACCTAAATCTGTTTACACAGTCAGGGACTGGACTCGCCTCCCTTATGGGGACAAAATGGAGGTCCCCATAAGGGGAATCATTAATTTTAGGGTGAAGACTTGGTTAGGGTAAGGGTAAGGGTAAGGTTAAGGGTTAGGCAGGTGTTGGTTATGGTGAAGGTTAGGATAAGTCTCCAGGAAATGCATGTAAGTCAATGTAATGTCCCCTGAAGTGATGTATACATTGTGTGTGTGTGTGTGTGTGTGTGTGTGTGTGTGTGTGTGTGTGTGTGTGTGTGTGTGTGTGTGTGTGTGTGTGTGTGTGTGTGTGTGTGTGTGTGTGTGTGTGTGTGTGTGTGTGTGTGTGTGTGTGTGTGTGTGTGTGTGTGTGTGTGTGTGTGTGTGTGTGTGTGTGTGTGTACCTATGTCGCTACAGTTGTCTGCTGTGCTGTGTGAAGGCAGGCCACAGGTGCCCGGTGTTCCCAGAGGAGTGGTGGCGCACTCATCTGGCTCCCGTAACCACGATGCATTCTGCAGGATGACAGGAGAGACATGGAGGACAGGTTAGAGGAGGAGGGAGAGGAGGAGGAGGAGGAGGAGGAGGAAGAGGAGGAGAACTCAGCCATTTTCCCCGTCTATCGTCAAAGATATGAAGTTGATTTCTAATCCTCGTCGTTATGTTTCCATCCCATACATTTATTTGACCAGATTCTCTCATCCTGCATTCATTAAGTCAGGCATCACACGGTTATTATTCACTGTGCAGCTGTGCAAGTGAAAGCTGGAGTGTCTTCTCCTAGTTGAATTAGTTGATAGTGTCGTGGACAGTCCCCATGGATCAACTGTCACAACAAACAGTAAATGGGGCAGCTTTAGCCAACATTGCTTATGTCCAGCTGTTGACCCCGGCCAGATGATAATAGACACCTTTTTAAAATCACAATACATCAACAAGCATTAGTTATAAAGAAAGGATGACTACTGCTTCCTGTTTGACAGGTTACTCTCTCGGCTCTCACCTGCTCCGACAGGCTGGTGCAGGACCCGGTGAAATCCTCCACGTCGGACTTGGAGCCGCCGTCCTTGTCGTCCATGATGAGGTCTGTGGGCATCTTGCCCTTCAGGCAGGTGATGTATCGATGGCAGAAGTTGTCACACAGGTCGTGGACCTACAGGGACAGATTTAAAGGTATGAGTGTATACTGTTAACAACACTTACTGAAAGGGTCCTGGTAGTGGTTGAACAGCTTGATTGTCATATGCAGGATAGCTGCAGCGTAAAAATATAATCTGAATCCTCAGCGCAACATACAATATACTTCAGACATAATATAATAGGATGATTCATAGTGCAAGTGACAATGGCTTGAGTAAAATGTAGTGCTGATAACATTTAGGGATAGTTGCATTTGTGTCCCACCTGTGACATTTCTCATGATCCATGCCTCAAATGCTAACACATGCCTTCATATGTTAATATACGTGACCTAAGACAACATTTAAATTAAGTTGTAGGAAAAGTGGTTTCAGTAGCTCTTGCGCAACCCCTAAAATGGCATTTTTGTCAAATGTATCATTACATTATTATTACATTACTTGTTAGACGCTTTTATCCAAAGCGACTTACAATTAGCGACTTACTCAATACTGTGGGCAATCCCCACAGGAGCAATTTGGGGTGAAGTGTCTCAGGGACACAACGACATGCTGACTGCAGTGGGGTTTGAACCTGTGACCCCCTGATCCGAACACCAACGCACAACCCACTGCGCCACACGCCTCCTATCATTTAAAATAGGCTTTTTAATTTATGTGTTGCTATTATTTTGTATCTATCTCCTGCAATGATCAAATGTGTTTGTATCAAAACATATTTTAAATAACTACATTTTCAATAGGAGTGTGTGCCTCAACATGCGTGCAATCCTGTTCGTGAAGACACTTTTGAAACTCTTTTAAAGTTTTATCAAATGTTCACTCTCAGATTTACTGAAAAACCAGCGAAACAGTGTTTTTTATTGAATAAATGTGCAGTTAAAATACAATAATCTTTTTTTTTTATCGATTGACATACCTTGATGTCAGACCTTCCTACGAGTCACACACTATTCTCCATACAAAACCAAATGTTAGTGCTTCTCTCCCACTCACCTTCTCTAACTCCAGTAAATGAAAGCGCAGAACTTGAATGGCCTGGATCATCTGTGGGAGAGGAGACAGGGGATTCATTATTAACTCGTATCCCACAATGCATCTGTGGTGATAAAAGCATATTTCGGTGTGATTTCAGTGAGCATCGTACCAAGTTGTCCAGCTCAGGATTGGAAGAAAATATGGGCTTCTCGGATCGGATCTGCGACACAAATTAAACATGATCATTAATCTTTATTTATACAACAACAACAACAACAACAACAACAACAACAACAACAAGGCAATGCAAAATGCTCTAAAACATTAGGATAAAGGGCAAAAGAAACCATTATAAAATGTCATTTAAATACATTTCAAGATTAAGAAGCTAAGAGATGTGTGTAGATTTGTATATTCCTCTTTAGTTCTAATTTCATAATAGTTTTTTTAAGAGTTTTTATAATACTTCTATTTTTTGTCCTTTTCTTACAATTTATTTTGTTTATGTATGCACCATTATCCCCAAAGCAATGTTCTTGTATATGTAAACCTACTTTGCAATACACCTGATTCTGATTTTGATTAAAATACAAGTTGAGTGTAAGAGATGTGAAAAGTTTAGTTGGATAGTTTTGACCAGATTTCGTGAGTCGATAAATCATTTTAAATCCTTTTTTCGTGCGGAATGACTTATTTCCAAGATATCTATTGGCATATCTCTGGTAAAAAAAATATTGGAATTGCTGTAGGATTCTTTCAACGAGTTCCTTGTAATTGGTTTAACCCTCCTATAGGTCAAAACTATCCAACTAAACTTTTCATTTCCCCCTTACTTTGGTGTTCGCGGTCAAATTTGACCGGTCCTGTTTTAACTGCTATTACATTAACACAAAAACCTTAATCATCACCAAATTTTATTTAACACCCTTTCAAACTGTACATATTGTATCAGACTACTGGTATACATGAAACACTGCAGTAAATATACAAAGAATAGACACTGAACATGTATTGCGTGTGCCAGGTGTGATCCATGTGGGGGGATGGGCACATAATGTCTGATTCCATAACAACATTCAAACCCCACCTGTTCAAACTGGCATTTTCTTTATAATCTGTACCCTGTGTCCTTTTGTGTCCTTTTGTGTCCTTTTGTAGTCCATTTCCTGTTGTTTGTCTCGTCTTACCCCGGCTGATACTTCACTAAATCCACTGTTATAATTTGTAAGGTGTAATTGTAAATTGTAAATCTGTAACCCTGTAAGGTGTCCTTGGGTGTTATGAAAGGCGCCCCCCAAAATAAATGTATTATTATTATTATTATAAGAGCGGGAAATGTATCAAATTGTTCTGTCTGTGTGTGTGTGTGTGTGTGTGTGTGTGTGTGTGTGTGTGTGTGTGTGTGTGTATGTGTGGGGGGGGTGTTTGTGTGTGCCAGGTGTGATTCACATGGGGGGATTGGGCACATAAGGGGGACACACATTTAGAGTGTGTGTGTGTGTGTGTGTGTGTGTGTGTGTGTGTGTGTGTGTGTGTGTGTGTGTGTGTGTGTGTGTGTGTGTGTGTGTGTGTGTGTGTGTGTGTGTGTGTGTGTGTGTGTGTGTGTGTGTGTGTGTTATCTGATCTGGATGGTTACTAATTCCTTTTCTTTATGGCGGTCATGTTTGACCTGGAACACCATGGTGTTACAAAGTTCACTAAATCATCCAAAATTCAATGAAAGTGTGATCAGCAATTTGATATGTCCAAATGTCTCCTGTGAAGGATATCATGAAGCCTTGATGCAATCGAATGTAAAACAAATAAGTTATGATCGATGAAAGTAGTAAATCGGTCAGATTTGACCCGAAGACAACAGGAGGGCTAAGAGATGCTACTCTACATTTTGTACTGAAAAGGTCTTTGTACTAATTTGATTCATTGTGGAGAATCGTGATTTTTACAGATCGGCTGTTTTAAAGGACGCTCACCTGCTTTGCAAACGCGGCGATGTCATCGTTGAAGGAGTCGGAGGAGCAGACGTCGCTGTGATTGGTCATGCTGTGATTGGTCATGCCGTGATTGGGCATGCCGTGATTGGGCATGCCGGGGAGGTGGGAGGTGGCCGAGAGGGAGGCGGAGTCTCGAGGGGAGCAGGTGGCGAGCTCACACTTTTCAAACACTAAGGCCAGCAGTGGAAACAGTGGGTGACTGTGCACACACACACACACACACACACACACACACACACACACACACACACACACACACACACACACACACACACACACATATACACACAAACAGTTAACATACTTTACATAAACACGGTAACAGTTGACATAATGTACACACACGATACATTCCCAGAAGGTGCAACAGGAAACTTCATAGCACAGTATTTATGAACAGCTGTAAACACATGTATTTTCATATTCAGTACACACATATCAACTCTCTGTTAATCTGGTAATGCTGCACAAGTAATGTTAACAACTATGGCACTAACAGGGTACATGAATCATTATTTCCACTATAGGGCTGCACAATTAATCTAAATCTAAATATGGACCGGTGCTATATTCATATCGCAGGAAGCATAACATTTGTTAGAGGCTAAATATGTGTTTACCATTTTGAATGAAGTAGCTTCAGTACGGAAAAGGACTAGGGCCACATGTGACGTTCCCTTTTTTGGATCTGGCCAAAAGGGATCTTTTTTTTAAGTCCTGAGATGTAAGTCAGGGTTTTGAATCCTGAGAAAAAGTCAGGATTTTGAGGGAAAAAAAGTCAGAATTCTGGAAAAAAAACCTCAGAATTCCCACTTTTTTGTTTAAATATTACGAATTAAATCTCAGAATTATAACTTTTTTCTCAGAATTCCAACTTTTTTCGCAGAAATCTGACTTTAATTTCAGGAGTAAAAAAAATGGTGGTCAGATCTAAACAAAAAAATTCCCATTTGGCCCTAATCCCTTTCCGTGCGATATCACAGTCTACACATGGTATTCTGTAGACCTCAAATACCATATTTGTTTGCTACAGATTCTCTTTAATATATCTTCCAATGCTTGTGAGAATAACGATGCAAAACTGATCTCCAATATCGTGGATCATATCGCAATTTCTATATCAGTAAATAATCAACTAGTTTTATTTTGTGTTTAGGGGTATCGTCCAAATCTGGAACAAACCCCCAGAAACCTGCAGGTCGGCTGTAACTCACTACTTTTAAATCCAGGCTGAAGACTTTTCTTTTTGCCGCTGCTTTTAATTGAACTATTCACATCTTAAACTGCGCTGTAACTTGTATGCATGTACCTGTGTTATTCATGTTTTATTATCTTTTAATGTTTCTTAATGTCTTTGATTTTTGTAAAGCACTTTGAATTGCCTTGTGTTGAAAAGTGCAGTATAAATCAACTTGCCTTGCCTTGCACACGTATGGGTTTCACACACTCTCTTACCCATAGATCTGGTCTTTGTGGTGTTTGAGGGAGTCTGGGATGATGGGGGGGCCGTAGTGAGGGGGAGGAAGCGTCCTGACATCGTCCGCGTACCCCCCCAACGACATGCCCTCCGACCCTGAGTAGTGCACCAGCTCTTCATACTGAAACACAATTAGACGCAAAAAAGAAAACATGAGACACGTTGGACATCTGCGCCCCTCTGACATCAAATCATATTTTATTACGCAGCCGGGCTGTCACCGCCAGGAGCTGCTGGGCTTTTATGTTAATGTGTCTGAACTCCTGGACACATTATGTACTGCTTTTTATTGTTATAGTTAAATAAGGCATGTTGTGCTTACTGCTAATGTTTAAAATCACATTATAGATTAGGTGTTTGAACAGTAAAATGTCACAAAGTAGTCAAATAAGTCCTTAAATATTTTTCTAAAGCCCATGTTGACATGTTACATTTTTCCAAAAAGTCAAAAAACCAATTATCTTTTTACTATAATAAAAAAACTATGAAAATCAACAAATATTAAGACTCAAGATCTGGAACGAATGCCTTTTGGGGTCAATGTCAACAATAAAACAAACATACATTTCTTTTGACCCCTATTATTATGTCTTATATTCACAAACCAATTCCAGGGTGTGTGTGTGTGTGTGTGTGTGTGTGTGAGAGATATGTCCCTGCAGTGTGTTGTACTGTTCCCTGGAAATGTGTGTGTGCCAATTCCTTCTTTGTTTTCCCTTCTAATGATGGATCATATGCTGCTAATTGTGCCACTGTGAGGCTAATTAAACCCATTCAAAAGGCATTTGGATAGCATCAAAAATGCAAATCAAGCCGAGATTTAAAATTCTTGGAAAGTCTGTGTGTTTGTGTTTCAGAAAGGGAAAGCGGAGGAAGAGGAAGATGAGGGGAAGAGTGTCGCTGCTAATATCCTCTCCTCCCTCCTCGACTTAGACAGGAGCCGTGCTGAGTCGTCGCTCACATCCCACTGTGACAGCCACACACACTCAGTGAGTCAGACACACATATGGCACACACACACTCTGATACAACACAGACATCTTGTACACAGCGTCATGAATATACATGTCTGTCTGCCTGTGTTACAGAGCTGCTAATTTGTGCCTCGCTGCAGCTTGTGTCTCCGAGGCGACGCTGCTCAGGTCAGCAGATCTGCTTTGTGCCGGATTAAAGGACCACTGGGATGACACACACACACACACACAACACCTGCTAGTCGACCTGAACACCTTTTTAACTTCTGTGTTATTTTAACCAAGCCATAAAAGTTATTATCTGCTTAGCGGTGTGTCTTTCTGTGGGCACTTTTCCCCAGACGGGCAACCACAAGAGGTTGTGGTTTCAATGAGTGTGTGTGACTGTAGAGAACATCAATGGCTCTTTTGCATCTGTTCTTGTTATATTCATTGCTATACTTATATTTTTGTAACCCTTTTTTTATAATGTCATCATTCCAAATGGCTCACAGAGAGGATATTTATCAAAAACTGTCAAATGTGGGATGATTTGTGTCGTTATTTGTGGAGAATACACTTAAATCACACAGCAGCAGTGAACCCCAACATAAATGTAATTATTTTTTACACTTTCTCTCCATGCTGACCTCTGGGAATTGAAATAAATGTTAAATTAAATCAGTCCTGTCCATGTGCCTGCATTGACCTCCTGTAAATCCCCCTGCAGGTCCCCTGGAGGTCTCCGGACCTCACTTTGGGCACCACTGTCCTAAATGGCTTATCAAATTGTTGTATTCCAGAGACCCATATGGCCACCGGGATCACAGAAAGCACCTGCTCTGAGGCCCAGGCCCCGGGACACCTTCTAGTTTTTATGGAGGCTGTGGCTATTAACACAATCACCGCTATCGGATTGCGCGTCTCTCTTTACGCGCGGCTCCTATCGGGTTTCTGTGCGTCAGGCGGATCAAAGCGCACGAGCCGAGATGACAAATTCCGCGAATTTTTCAACTTTTTCTAAAAAGTCACGGAGCGGGTAAACAGCGTTCAGATGTGGGTAATTGTTTTATTCCAAAAGGCCTAACAAGCGTTTTTTCAGGCAGCTTCAGCTGGGAACACACGAATAAAGTGCAGCTTTGTAGAACTGGACTGACTCATAAGAAAAGGCAGGAAATGAAGACGAAATTGCTCATATTTCAGACTCTTTCTTTTTAATAAACCTTAATTTTTAATAAAGAAACACGGCTCTGTAAAATCTACATGTTTCACTTTCGTCGAAAACAAGGGCTCCGTTTCTCATGAAAATAAGCAAACTAATTCCTCCGTTTTCTCAGTGCACCGATTTAGAAAACGGGAAATTAAATGTGCTTTTGCTTAAAAGTTCGTAGTTGTTTCTTCACGTAAATTAGCTAAACTTAGGTTGCAACAAACTAACGGAACGAGCGAAAGTCTAAAAAAGTAATCACACATTTGTTGAAGCTTACAGTTTTTCTCAACGGTTTTTGCTACAGGTTTGTAACATGAATAACTCCTGCACTTAGCACTTAACAAAACAATCAACAACTGGACTTTCCTACACAAAATAAAACTTTAAAACTCTAACAACAAACTATCACTAGACATGCATTTCTTAAAACGTCACCATATGTTCTTTTTTACAGCCTTATGAACATCGAAAATAAAATGTAAAAAGTTTAGTGGCTCAGTGAAATACAGGCCTAACATCCTCACTGTTTAGCATGCAGTCATTTTCCTGTGGCTGTTTAAATAAACACCCAGAAAGTATTTTTACTTTTACCAGCAATGAGCTATTTTATTATGTATTGACCCCACGTTTAGTTTAAGCTGTTGAATGGATTAGCTCTTGTTTGTGTGTATTGCACAGTTCCTCTTCTCCTATAGCTCGTTATTCTCTGCTTGTATACAGCAGTGATTTCCTATCACACTGCACATGTCTTATTGCTCTCATGGACAATTATGTATCTGTTTCCACCCCCAGCATGCATGCAGAGCAACACAAAAAAACTCGCCTACTTCAAGCTCTCTCTGAATGACCACTCTAACCCATGCGTGCCATCATTACGCCTGACTGACATTGCACAATACATCTATATTATTCTCAGAGGAGGGAGAGATATTAGATCTTAGAACATGTCCTCGTTAAGTGTTTTCACACATTGCTGATATCTACATTGCATGTTAAATACACAACCTAGCCGAGCTCCAATGCACGTCAATTAGGGATTATGCCTGGTCAAATTGTAACTTTGCAGCACCGTAAAGCGCTTACAAATACACACATATATAAGGAGCATTTATTTTAGTTTTCAGTGCAAAAGAAAGGCATGTTTTGCATGTTGTTGTTCCCTAAACATGAAGTCCATGCCAGTGCAGTCCACTAGTCTGTTTCCAGCGGGCCTCGTGTTTTTATGGCTGCTACACCCGAGCAGAGAGCCATCAGTGCATTGAGGATTCCCAACATATGCCCCCATTATGATGCTTATCTAATTAACCTCCTCTCTTTTGTTATAAAGGGTGTGTTACTGTATCCTGCCACAATCTGGTGTAAATCATTATCATTTGAAAAAGAAAAATCAGCAAAAACATACCCTCTTCTCCATGCGACCCGAGAGCCAGTCCTACACCGGAGAAGATGATGCTCTGCTCGGCTAGTCCAGCGAGCTTTCTTCTGGTCCTGGAACTAAAAGTAAAAAAAACATTATTGTTTTTATTGCATGAGGTTGTAAACATGATAATCATGCACAAAACGCATACAAACAAAAACAATACTGTGGTTAGAAAAACAGTGAAGAGCTGTGTGTAATGTGTGTGTGTGTGTGTGTGTGTGTGTGTGTGTGTTTACTCCGAGCCCATCGCGTTTTATATTACAGCATTATGATGGGAGATTTGATGGTCCTTGTTTACACTGGTCGATGTGAGCGTAACGGTTCATAATGCACTCAGCGGTAATGAACGCTGTACATAATAAAGCTCGCAGCCTATTATTGGTTTATGTTTCCGGTAAACGGTGTAAAAAAATGTCCCACCGAGAGGGTAAATATCCAGTCCTGTTCGGGTCGGTGTGGTCCGGAGCTCCGGGAGGATGTACCGGTTCCTGCAGCTTCTCGCCCCCGCCTGGTGCGCCTCTCGCTCCGGGTCGGGGATGCTCGGTTTCACGGGAGGGTTTGTGGGCAGAAAGCGTCCCTTTCAGCTTTTTGGCTCCTTGTGCTTGCTGTCCGCGCTGCATATACGGCGACAGGCTGGAATATGTCACGACTGGATAGGGTTTTCTGTCTCAAGAGGAGAAGAAGAAGGAGGAGGAGGAGGAAGAGGAGTGGTGGTGTTAGTGGTGTGTGGGGAGGTTTCCGAGGGTCAAAACGCGACGGGGTCTCTTTGGCCCTCCTCCCTCCATCCCTTTACTCCTCCTCCTTATCACACACACAAACACCAGAGAAGAAGAAGGAGGACCCCCTCGATAGTTTTATCTCGCCTCTCCTCCGGGCTGATATCACTCCTGCTGCTGCATCTATCGCCACTTTCTCCAAATCCCTGCCTCGGCTGCACCACCGTTATCTCGGGATAACCCGGGAGAAAGACCCGTGATAACGCTTACTATAGGGATTGAGCATGTTTAACAGAGTCCATTAAACCCACGGTGAACCGATTAAGTTGATATAGAAAATCCTTAATTTGATCATATTATAAAAGTGCATAGGCCTACTTGCAATGCGATGCATACAGATTGTTTTGACTTCCTTTTCATACGAATTAAGAAATGTTTGGCATTCTGCATTCTTGAGTGTAAGGGATTAAATAACGTATCCGTCTATCTATCTGTTAAGTGAATCCTTTACACCCTCAAGAATGCAGAATGCCAAATATTTCTTAATTCGTATGAAAAGGAAGTAAAAACAATCTGTATGCATCGCATTGTAAGTAGGATGCACTTTTATAATATGATCAAATTAAGGATTTTCTTATCAATTTAGGCAGTCAAAATAAGAAAGTGTCTGCATCACATATGCAATTTTATAATGTGATCAGAAATAGGAAATTGCGCAGTAAGACATCATCTTAATGTTATTTTAGAGTCCCTTGTTTTAAGAGCTAATTAAAGTCATGATCAGTAAATAATAAGTGTTTTAATCCTCTTCACATCGGATCATAAATAAGCTTCCAAGCGTGCTCGATGACACGATATGTACAGGCTGATAACAGCTTTCCAAGTGTTTTATAGTTTTGTTGTCAATCAATTGTCAGAAAGCCTTTTGACAGACTCCAAATGGCCCTATTCTTTTCTTGTTGATTGGGAGGAGGTGAAAACAGAGCTATTATCGTGAGAAAGTTTCATTGGAACCCCTTTTAACGTGTTGGTGGCATAGCTAAACTGGCCGTCTTGTGTTGTAAATGTCACTTCAGCTCAGTAACATAATTATTTAAATCGCTGCTGTTGCCCCGGTCCCGCTGCGAGGGGCCAACAGACGGCTGCACTTCAATCAGCGGCCGGGCAGGAGGCTCGGTGGACGGCCTGTGTGAGAGCCATGCACCGGGCCTACAGCCAGGGGTCTTTTAACTCAGCTGGGGGGCTGGTTTCCTGCAGGGGGGGATCACGGCCTCCACCCCCCTACACTGAGCCGTCAATGGACTGGAAAAGGCGATGCAAGGGCTTGTTTTCACTTTGTTAACAGGCTGCATGAAAAGGATTAACACTGAAGTCAAATCATCTGAGGAATCCATGTTCACACTCATTTTGTCCTTGGAAGACCTTTACAACATGTATCAGAGGTGGGAGAAGTACTCAGATATTTATGTAAAAGTAGAAGCACTCAGACCTTGTACTTAAGTAAAAGTAGAAGCACTCAGATCTTGTAGGCCTACTTGAGGAAAAGTAGAAGCACTCAGATTCAGATCTTGTACTTGAGTAAAAGTAGAAGTACTCAGATATTATACTTGAGTAAAAGTAGAAGTACTCAGATCTTGTGCTTAATTAAAAGTAGAAGTACCAGAGTGTAAGAATACTCCCAAAATGTTAAGTAAAAGTAGAAAAGTATTCTCATCAAAATATAGTGAAAGTAGCGACAGTAAAAGTAGTCGTTGTGCAGATTGGTCCATTTCAGAATAATATATCTGATATGTTTTATAATGACTGATCATGAAAGTGTTCTCAAAGCTGGTAAAGGTGTAGCTAGTTTGAATTACTTTGTATTCTGCAGGGTAGCTGGTGATTTTACTCCAGGTGGAACTAAAGTCTGATTTAACACTTGGTTAGATTTCACATCATTCATCCAGATCTGTGAAGTAACTAAAGGTATTAAATACATGTAGTGGAGTCAAAGTACACCATTTACCTCTATTTATCTTTTAGTAAAAACTAGCATAAAATGAAAGTCTCTCAAAATTCTACTTAAGTACTTGAGTAAGTGCACTTAAATACTTCACACCACTTGCATTTCAATTATTAAGAGTGACTTGTTGAGCTGTTTTTCTTCAGGACTCTGCACCATAAATCTGAACTTTCTAACATTTATCGAACAGACCATTATCTAAACATGTAGATTGCTCTCATTAGCATCACAAACACTTGAGGATCTGTCATTTTGTATCACGCCTCCTCCAGTCCTTGGGATAACACCTTCGTTTTCGGAGCTGAATATGTTAACGACAACCCATTTTTAACACAACATATGTTGTTAAGCCTGTGCTGAGAGGTAACACAACTGCAGTGTGTTGTTCCAGAGAAGACACACACACACACGCACACACACACACACACACACACAAACAGATGTTGCATATTATCACACTTAAAGGTATGTAGATCAAGATTTAGTTAAAATGAAATCCTGCATAAAACAGTAAGGGGGAATTCATTAAGACAAGGTGAAATCTCTTAGTTAAAATAAATGACTGTCCTGTCTTTTTGGAAGGGCAAATACATTCTTTAGTTAATCATAATATCAATGATAAATAAAAACATAACATACTGAGACTTTGTGTAAATCAAGGGATTATATATTTGCTCAAAGTGCATATAACAAAACCAAATATTGAACAATAATTCATGCTCATTTCTGTAAGTCAATATCAATACATTCAGAAACCCAGTTTTTTGCAAAGGCAAGGATAATAACTTTAATACTCTACTAATAGATAGATAGTTAGATAGATAGATAGATAGTTAGATAGATAGATAGATAGATAGATAGTTAGTTAGTTAGTTAGTTAGATAGATAGATAGATAGATAGATAGATAGTTAGTTAGTTAGTTAGATAGATAGTTAGATAGATAGATAGTTAGTTAGTTAGATAGATAGTTAGATAGATAGATAGATAGATAGATAGATAGATAGTTAGTTAGATAGATAGATAGTTAGTTAGATAGATAGTTAGATATATATATAGATAGATAGAGTTAGTTAGATTGATAGACAGTTAGATAGATAATTAGATATATAGATAGTTAGATAGATAGAGTTAGTTATATATATAGATAGTTAGATAGATAGAGTTAGTGAGATAGATAGATAGTTAGTTGGTTAGATATATAGATAGATAGTTAGATAGATAATTAGATAGATAGTTAGATAGATAATTAGATAGATAGATAGATAGATAGTTAGATAGATAATTAGATAGATAGATAGATAGATAGATAGATAGATAGATAGATAGATAGATAGATAATTAGATAGATAGATATATAGATAGATAGATAATTAGATAGATAGTTAGATAGATAGATAGTTAGATAGATAATTAGATAGATAGTTAGATATATATATATAGATAGTTAGATATATAGATAGATAGATAGTTAGATAGATATATAGATAGATAGATGGATAGTTAGATAGATAGTTAGATAGATAGTTAGATAGTTAGATAGATATATAGATAGATAGATGGATAGTTAGTTAGTTAGATATATAGATAGATAGATGGATAGTTAGATAGATAGTTAGATAGATAGTTAGATAGTTAGATAGATATATAGTTAGTTAGTTAGATATATAGATAGTTAGATAGATAGAGTTAGTTAGATAGATAGTTAGATAGATAATTAGATAGATAGATATATATATATATATATAGATAGTTAGATAGATAATTAGATAGATAGTTAGATAGATAGATATATAGATAGATAATTAGATAGATATGTAGATAGTTAGATAGATAGTTAGATAGATATATATAGATAGTTAGATAGATAATTAGATAGATAGTTAGATAGATAGTTAGATAGTTAGTTAGATATATAGTTAGATATATAGATAGTTAGATATATAGATATAGTTAGATAGATAGATAGATAGTTAGATGGATAGTTAGATAAATGGATAGATAGATAGATAGATAGATAGATGGATAGTTAGATAGATGGACAGATAGATAGATAGATAGATAGATAGATAGTTAGATAGATGGACAGATAGATAGATAGATAGATAGATAGATAGTTAGATAGATGGACAGATAGATGGATAGTTAGATAGATAGATATAGATAGATAGATGTACTTTATTTATCCCAAATTAGGAAATGATTGTGGTGATACATTGCACATGATTGACAAATACAGATAATATTTATTTGTATCAACACGACTGAAGATATTCCTTCACAGGGTATCTATAATACTTTTTTTTCTTTCCTTCAAAAGAGTGTGTTATCCTCTTTGAGTGTAACTATCTAAAATCTGCAAATCTGAGCATCATGTTGCAGCAGCATCTAATCAATTGCATGTTTGTATCGACACTCTGATTTGTTGACAGCTTCATGCATGTGTTGGCTGGTTATAATGTAAAGAAATGGCTTCTAGACTGAGGGCTAACTTCCTGTCGTGGAGCTCTCCTGTAGGAAAAGCCTCTTTCCTGCAGCACACAGTGTGATATCAGTCAGAGAGGTTCATTCTGCACGTCAAGGCTGCTGCAGTTATTCGTCACTCGCTGTCAGAGCTCAAGTGCTCGCTCCTCTGCACCCGGGCCTGTTGGGTTTCTGCACTCGGGCTACAGCATGCAAGTGTTTTCATGACAGCAGTGTGTGTGTGTGTGTGTGTGTGTGTGTGTGTGTGTGTGTGTGTGTGTGTGTGTGTGTGTGTGTGTGTGTGTCCTTGTCTTTGTGTGTACTTGACTTACTTGTTTGCTTGCGTGCTGCAGGGTCAGTGTCAACGTGCTCCTGTTCTAAGTCGGGCCTCACTGCAGGCGATGCCCTGGGATAGAAAACAGGAAGCAGCTAGCAGAGAGGTGTGTGTGTGTGTGTGTGTGTGTGTGTGTGTGTGTGTGTGTGTGTGTGTGTGTGTGTGTGTGTGTGTGTGTTTACCTGCAAGACCGGACGTGTCTCTATCGGAGA